TAAATTACAGTATATTCATTCAATGAATACAGTAACTTTATTGAAAATATATCGATAGTTACAATATAGGATACACAAGTATCCAGAAATCCAAAGTGACCATGGTTCAGCTCTGATTGAATTAGTTTATCTGAAAGAGTCATCTCTGGCAAAAAAAGATTCTACGAGTATGAGCCCCACTCCCAGTATTGTACAGTCTCCGAATTTGTGTTACATGCTTTTAATTTGTCGACGATTATGACGGATTCTCTCCCGCTATGTATGCCTGTCTGCGTGCATTGACAATATCTCTGATATAAAATCATAAATAATATTCAACGTTAAACTGGTAACAACTAAAAACATTTTATTTAGGCCTATCTATGGCCTTCAAAAAGTTGACGACTTCACATGTTTCGACGTTACAACGACTCCTGAGGATGACGCTGTAACGTCGAAACATGTAGAGTTGTCTACTTTTTGAAGGCCATAGATGGGCCTAAATAAAATGTTTTTAATTGTGTACCAGTTTAACGTTGAATGTTATTTATGATTTTAACTTTATACACAAGTGCCAAAATACTACAATTAATTTATCTGATGTAGCATCATGATTTATAGCCGCATTGATGTACTCGGTGTTTAAGAAGGTTTCACAGATGTTCTATGGATTTTAGATCCAGTCTTCTTGCTGACTAATTCATGACCTCTTTAATTTTTCGTTTAAGGTAGTCTATCACAATCCTGGTAGTGTGCCACAAGGTACAATATTACATCATAACAAAATGTGCTTCAACTGCACCACAAAAAGTGCATTTGTGTAAATTAACACCAAATATATCGTAAACCCATCCCTCAGAAGCTCAGTGGAATTTCATCTGCTTAGTTTGTTTGTGATCAAGCACAAAGCTACACAATGTGCTATCTCTGCTCTGCCCACCACGGGTATCGAAACCCGGATTCTAGCGTTGTAAGTCCGCAGACATACCGCCGTGTCACTGGGGGAGGGGGGGGCTTCATCTGCTTAACCATTCTTACTGACATTTTTTACATCATTACTAAATCGCCACCGAAACAGTGGTAGTCAATAAACATTACAATAAAGATATTGTTTACCCCTGATTCTCCGGACATGAACATGATGATCATTTGTTGAATTAAAGAACAATTGATTCGTGCATGTGTGAAGGGTAGAGATGTTGAATAATGTTGGTGAAATATCTGGTAATCTTGAAAAAACTTCCATGAAAGCTATTTAGCCAACTGTGAAACTAAAGCCCAACTCGCGAGATCTTTTCTTCATTGCTGGGTCACTGGCAGTCACTTCAGTTGTAGTCCAACGCAGTAGATTGACAGTCTTTAACGAGATTGTTATGCAGTAAACTATCTTTACAAGGCGTAATTGATATTTCACGGCATTATCCAAACTGTCTATCGAAGAATTAAAATTTATCAAGAACGAAACGAAGTACTATGTTTTAATTGCCTTTGTATTTAATCTGTTTTATACTGAAATAAACCCTATGATGAGAACTAACTATAAATTGTCATCGAAAAATTGTGATCATTATTCTGTCTTCGTGTTTGAATTATTTAAAAAGGTTTTATATATATAGACCTTACATGACCCGATGACTAGGGCACCCGACTCGCAATATGTGGGTCGCGGGTTCGAAGCCTGTTACTGAACATGCTCTCCCTTTCAGCCGTGGAGGCGTTACAATATTTCAATCAATTCCACTATCCGTTGGTAAAAAGGAATCCAAGAGATGGCGGAGGATGGCGATGACTAGTGGGCCTTCCTTCTAGTCTATCACTTCAAAATTATGGACGGCTGGCGCAGATAGCCTTCTAATAGCTTTGCGTGAAATTTAATGAAAACAATATATATAAAAATATATATATATTATACAATATCCACAAATTAATTATATAGAATAAATAAATGAGCACACATTATTTCACGAGTATTGTTTTAGTTTTATAGAGACACCATGTAATATTTGTGTGTTAAAATATTTCCTTACTTTCATTACACTTGCCTGTTTATATAAATACATATTAAAATACTTTCTTGGGACATTGTTCTAATGACAACCTGCACAGAATAATATTGTGCAACTGGTTCATTTATTTAAACTATTATATCAGCTATCCTTGGGATAATTCCTATAAGATGATTATTACATTACCTTTTCCAAAACTGATTCTGTGAACACACGACTAAATGAAATTTCGAACTCCAATATCCAAAACAAAAGTGTTTCTTGTTCAAAATACCAAACACTGTGATTTCGACTTCAAATTCGACGTTGATCATTAATTGATTTTCACAGTATTTGTTTTACTGATTAAAAAAAACATATAAAGAAACCGAAATGTGAAATGAATCTGATAATGAGTTTTCAATTTATCTCAAATTTTTTATGAGATTAATATAGACTATCGAAAACTATGCTGGTTTATTTCTTACCGCGTGTTTAAGGATTTTCTAATAATTGTGATATACTTGTGGTGTTACTATATATGTGTCATGATTCAAATAAATTAACGTACTCCTTAATATTGGAGGTTTTCAAATAAACACATAAAATTATATGATCGTATATTAAGCTGGAAAAAAAGAGCAGAATTAGAAAAGTATTCCCTATGTTTGAAGGGTACATTTGTAGAACGTAGCCGTACATTCAGATCATAGGGTATTTTAAAGTATTTAAAGATACATTGTTGTTGAAACTTACGAGACTTACATTATTTTTACCATTAATAAATGCTTTAGAGCTAGCAACTAAACGGTCATTTGCAGTTTTCAAAATGTGGACTATATATGTAATACTGCGGTTCATTATGACGTTC